AGGCCAGTGAGTGCGTCACCACAGAGTGCTCCGGTTGGAGTTAGATGTGTGGTACTCGAGTTGGCCGGTTGATGAGGTGTGGCTTTCACGGGAGGAAAGTATCCACCTTGGAGATCAGGAAGACAGACCCTTCGTCGTGGTCCCAGGTGCAGGAATCGGAGTCGGAATCGGAGTTGGAATCGGAGTTGGAGAAGGCAGCGCCTTGGTCTCGGTGTTGTCCGATGAGCTGGGTCGTAAACGACCCAGGAAAACTTTCCACGGCAGGGAGTCTGTCGACTCTTACCGCGGAGAGTTAATACCCTGCAAAGCAGGTGTAAACAAAGGCCCGGAATGAGCTCGCTCCGTATCAAACGGAGGCCTTGAAGAGCACGCTCCGTCTCCAAAAGAGATTATGTCAGGGGCCTTGGTAGTAGCACACCTTGACTGGTGAGCTGATCGCTGGAGAAACCCCGCTGGGTTGCCCCTTATATAAAGGTCGATGTCGAATCTTTCTTACGAGAGAATCGACCGGCGATGCGCCGCGTAGCGGGCGCGCGTTGAACTGCCCGGCCGATCGATACCGTGCCGCTGCTCGCGCCGCGCGCCTCCCGTCTTACTGCCGTCGTCGCGCGCGCACCGTCGCGCGTCGTGGCGGACAGCTGTCCGCCACAATAAACATATAAAATTATGTATAATTATATATAAATATATATTTTTTTATATAATTTAATATAATTATATCTAGATTCTTATATAAAATTATATAAAATTATATAAAATTATATATAAGTATACATATTTTTATATCCCATACAGCATGAAATATTCCATGAATGTTCTATAAATATTCTTTAGAATATTCATGAATTTTCTATTAATGATCTATAAATGTGCAAAGAACGTGTAATGTCCCGCTTTGAATGTCCTTAGAAATTTCTGTAAATATTCTCGAATAATCTACAAATGTTTTATAAATTTTTCCGCATAATCCATAATTTTTTTATATATGCAAAAGATATTTATAGAACATTTATAGATTATTTTAGGAACATTAAAACTGTATACTATGTCTGTATACATTTAATATTCACCCGACATAAAAAAAAATTATTTATTTCGATATTTTATTACTATTTTTTAACTAAATTTGTTTCTTAAGACGCAGTCTATGATTATAAATATTTTCTCGTATTTTAAAAACACACTTACCTTGGTGAGATTCGAACTCGGAACCTGAGCCAACTGCCTTACATAGACTACTTCTTAATTTGATGTAAGCGTTATATATAGTCTACATATGTCATAACCAGCGCAAATATATAATTTTTCAAAAATCATCTTAAGAAACAAATTCACTTTAAAAAAAGTAATAAAATTTGAATTAAATATATGATATAATATTTCTCAATGTCGGGTGAATGTCAGAAACCAGTGCCGGCTCATTATAAAATTTTTTATAAAATTATATATTTTTAATTATTTTTTTAAAAAGAAAATTGTAAATCTAATAATAATGATAAAGAATAAGGATTGGCTATTAAGCTTTGGCCCAATATTGGGCGGCACTTGCTTGCCAAACCTCGGCTACTTAAATTTGGGTAATAGTTGGGCCAGGCTTGGGCATTAAACGTCGGCAAGCCGACACTCGTGCCAGTCTTGGGCCGTTTCTCGAGTATCGGCGTTTCCTACCTGGGCCCGTATTCCGTTCCTGCCTACCGTCAACTGTCGGTTCGATAAGTGTCGTTGCGCAGGTTTTTCATATCGTGTAAAAGCTGCGCACCGACACCGACAGTTGTCGGTAAGCGGATTTTAGCGGAACAGAATACGGCCCCTGGGGACTCTCTCGCGGTCTCGTTACGCTTCCCCTTCGTTAGCTCGCAAGGGTCTCGGATTTCTAAAAAGTTTTTATTAATGCTTTCCAGAATATTTATATAATGTTTCAAAATATTCCTAGAATAATTAGAATGTTTTCAATATTTTTCCTAAAATGTTTATAGATTATTTTAAAAATATTCTACTAATATGTAAAAAATATTCTATTAATATTCTGAATATTTCATGTTCATTGCAATGTTCACAGATTATTATTGAAATATTCATAACAATTCTAGAAAAGTTTTTCAGAATATTCATAGCACATGCTATAAATGTTTAAGAATATTAACAAAATGTTCCGTAAATATTCCAAATATTCTATATTTGTCAAAATATTTATAGAACATTCTATGCATTTTTTAAATGTACTATATTTATTAGACATTTGTAGAATATTCTATGCATATTCCGAATGGACAAAATTTCATGGAATATTTATAGAACTTCTACAGAATATTCTGAATGACCCGTGGAATATTAAAATATTTATAGATTGTTTATACCACATTTCTTGCATATTCCATGCTGTATATGGGATATATTTATATACAAGCATATACAATTTTGTTTAAATCAGAAAATTTTAAGATATATATTTATATATAATAGTATATATAAGGATAAGGATAAAGATTTACTTTATATACCCCAGAGGGCCTTAAAGGGCGTTTTGAAAGGACGTACCTAACCCTATCCGAACCTTTCTGTGGACCAACGGTTTAACGTCTTCTTCCGAAAGACGGAGCCCAGTTTTTCCATCTAGGGAGACTTTTCTCCGCTAAATGGGGGGGCAGGGTTTTTTTCCTCCGAGGCCTAGCGGGATTCGAACCCGGTTCTCCGGATTACGAATCTGGCGCTCTACCCACTAGACCAGCCGTCACCCCTATATAATAGTATATAAATATATATTAAAATATATAATTATATAAAATATATATTTTTCTATATAATTATATAAAATTATATCTGATTCCTCACGTAAAATTATATATAATTTTATATAATTATATATATTAATATATTTATATAGAGATGAATTAGAATTTTTCTAAATAAGTAGAGCAGGACCAGTTGCATGGCCTCCACGATTCCCCGACCTCAATCCTTTAAATTTTTAACTGAGGACACTTAAAGTCCTTAGTTTATATAAAGTTCAAATCGACAACGAAGATATGATATGCCAATGCATCTTTGCTGCTTGTGAAACCATTCGCAACTTGCAACCGCTCCGAGATCTTTGAAAGAGTGTGGCAGTCCATGAACCGACGTGTCTATGCGTGTATTGAATTGAATGGGAGACAATTTGAACATTTGTTGTAATTAAAAATTGAAAATAAATAATATTAAATAATAATAGATATTACTTTCATTTTCCATTAATAAATATTTGTTTGAGCTGTATCTCAATCACCCTTCTAAGTGCCCTTCTGAAGATTTCTGCATAATTACTACTTTTTTCATGTTTTGGTGTAGAAAACTCGCCTCCAAAGTTTGTCTCCTTATTTTAGTCACACTTTGTATGTTTAATAAATAACTTGTGGAATTAATTGATTTTTTGTTCAGGAATGGCAACTCATACTTGACAGATACCTGAATGTCCTTATGCTCAGCTAATAGTGCAAAGATGAAGCACAGACTCATTGCTGTAGTGTCATGACCCTGCAATCATATGTGTCAATATAACATTATGTACAGGGTATTCCACATAACTCTTTACAGCTCGATATCTCGAAAACTATTTCATCGATTTTAAAGGTTTAGATCTTGAATTGTATGGATCTGAAGGGCCTTCAATCTGAAATAGAGGTTGGTCTTTTAACCCTTTTTGCATGGGTAAAACAAAGATCAATTTTAAAATTTTTAATGAAAACCCCTTGTTATGTTCGTAAGTTGAATAAACCGCCCTGAAAGTGCAACCGCGAGAGGGCACGATAGCCATAAGAGTGCAACCGCAAGAGGGCACGATAGTGAGTTTCCGGTCCCGCCAAAAAGAATGAGAGCCTTCGGGCAGACATATTGTAACAGCCGACTCGGTCGCATGACCGCTGCCTCGCACGCAATAAAGACGACTTATTGTATACTTTGTGTGACTTACTACCTGCTCGCGTACATAATAAGTGGCGACGAGGACGTTACGAATCCAAGTGCAAGTACTGCAGACTTCCTACATACATTGTTGCGCAGTACGAAATACGACTAGTGCAAAATGCCGAATACAGGGCAAACCACTACGTTCCAACAAGTTTTCTCTATTGAGTCATTCGATGCGTCAAAGACAACGTTTAACCGTTGGACGAAAAGACTGGAAAGTGCATTTGGAGTGTTCAATGTGCCGGTGCCACCAAGAAGGGACTATTTACTTGGGTCCAGAAACATATAACCTATTGTGCGATAAATTGGCACCGGTGGAACCGACTACAAAAACATACGAAGAATTGGTGGCTATAATGAAGAACCATTTCAACCCGGAACCTTTGGAAATAGCGGAAAATTTCCGATTTCTGCAACGACGCCAAGGAGAGGGGGAGACAGCGCAGGAATACATGGCGGCCCTCCAGAAGCCGGCGCTTCATTGTAAATTCGGGGACTACTTGCGCACGGCGCTGCGGAACCAATTCGTTTTCGGCCTGCGGTCGGAAAGAATACAAGGACGCCTACTCGAATGCAGAGACCTCACGGTGGACAAGGCAGTAGAAATCGCAGTCGGTATGGAAGTTTCGGCGCGGGATGCGGCACAATTACAGAAGTCCAACGCAGCGAGCGTGAATAGCGTAAATACAAATAAGAAGCAGAGTAAGGTTAAATTCCCAAATAAAAATCGTAAAACTCAGGTCGACACAAAAGAAAATAAAAGTCAGAGTAATAACAAAACTTGCTATAGATGTGGTTCAGATAAGCATTTAGCGAATAATTGCGATAAGAAAGAGGTAATCTGTAATTATTGTCAAGTAAAAGGTCATTTAAAGAAAGTATGCATGAAAGCGAAAAAAGATGGTAATCAAACGAATCAGATCGAAGTAATTTGCCTGGCTGACACCGAGCATGCGACATTTCGAGAGAAATTTATGGTAAACGTTGAAGTAAATAAAGTCAATATTCAGTTTGAAGTAGATAGCGGTGCAGCCGTAAGTCTTATAGGCAAAGAACAATTCGTGAAGTTTTTCAAAGATGTACAGATACATTCGACTACGCTTAGACTAGTTACATATTGCGGTACGGAACTTGAGATGTTAGAAGTTTCTAATGTCAGTGTATGTTACAAGGGTATTACAAATAACCTCGAAATGTATGTAGTTAAGGGGAAAAGGAAACCTTTACTAGGCCGAGAATGGATCAGGCAATTAAATGTAGATTTGGGTGAGATCGCTCAAGTAGATACTGATGATGTGCAAGCACTTTTAAAGAAATATTCGCGAATTTTTCAGGACAATATCGAGAAAATTACAGGTATACAAGCTAAATTGAAATTACGCGAGGGGACTACTCCCGTGTTCGCAAAAAGCCGAAAAATCGCTCACGCATTGCTACCTAAAGTAAAGGAGGAAATTGATAAATTGGTCAAAGAAGGGGTATTGCGTAAAGTGCAACATTCCGATTGGGCTACACCAATAGTGCCGGTAACGAAGTCAAACGGGGGAATTCGTTTATGTGGGGATTTCAAAATTACAATAAATCCTGAAAACCAAAAAAACCAATAAAACAGTTTTTGGTCGTGGACCAGCACCCTTTACCAACGACTGACGAAATGTTTTCGTCGCTGAACGGTGGTACGGAATTTTCAAAATTAGACTTACGGGAAGCGTACCTACAACTGGAAGTAAGCGAAGACAGTAGGAAATGTCTGGTACTTAATACACCCTTCGGACTTTACGAAAGCTGTAGATTAATGTATGGGGTTGCTAGCGCGCCGGCAGTATGGCAGCGCGAAATAGAAAATCTGTTACAGGGCATTGAGGGAGTCGGAGTTTTCTTGGATGATATCAGGATCACAGCGCCTAACAGGAAAGTACATTTACAAGGCTTGAGGCGGTACTAAAAATATTATCCGAACATAACATTCGCGTAAATTTAAAGAAATGCATGTTTTTACAAGACAAAATTGAGTATTGCGGTTACGTAATAGATAGAACAGGGCTGCGTAAGTCGACCAGTAAAATCGAGGCCATACAAAACGCTCCCAGACCAACTAACAAAACGAAAGTAAAGTCTTTCGTGGGTTTAGTAAATTATTACGGTCGTTTTTTTCAAAATCTAAGCAAAGTACTCCACCCATTATATCACTTGCTAAAAGATAATGTACCCTTTAAATGGAATACAAAATGCCAGGAAGCATTTAATACGGTAAAGAAAGAAATACAATCGGACAAAGTTCTGGCACACTTCGACCCAACACTTCAGTTAATACTCGCAACAGACGCTAGCTCTTACGCGGTAGGTGCGGTACTTTCGCAGATTTCCCCAGACGGAACAGAACGGCCAATTCAATTCGCTTCACAAATGTTGAGTGAGACTCAGCAAAAATATTCACAGATTGATAAGGAAGCTTATGCAATCATTTACGGAGTAAAAAAATTTTATTACTACTTATATGGCAGGAAGTTTACGCTGATTACGGATCACAAACCGTTAGTACGAATTTTTTCTCCAACTAATGGCCTTCCAGTGTTCTCTGCCGCACGCATGCAACACTATGCAATTTTTTTGCAAGCATTTGATTTTCAAATTAAGTATAAAAAATCAGAAGACAACGCAAACGCGGATGCAATGTCTAGATTACCCCTACGCCCGGTTAAAACGTACGGATTTGAGGAAGCAGATTGCGCGGAAATTAACTCAATTGAGACGTTACCTATTACATGTGTAGAATTAGCTCGTGAGACTGAACGCGATAAATCGTTAGCAGCACTCTTACAAGGCTTGAAAGAGGGTTATACGGTTCATAAGGAAAATAGATTTAATATAGATCAAGTCGAATTTACACTACAATCGGGATGCATTATAAGAGGCCAAAGAGCAGTAATACCTGTCTCATTACGAAAAAGAATTTTAGAGGAACTTCATGCCGCTCATTTTGGAATAGTTAAGATGAAGCTCATGTCTAGAAGTTACATATGGTGGCCTAACTACACAAAAGATATAGAACAATTAGCGAAAAATTGTTTTGAATGTAATAAAATTAGGAACGACCCTAGTAAAGTCACGTTGCATCCATGGGAAAAAACTACGGAACCGTTTCAAAGGGTTCATGTAGACTATGCGGGTCCGTTCTATAATACATACTTATTGATATTAATCGATGCTTACTCGCGTTGGCCAGAGATTTACATAACAAAAGATATGACAACTGCGACTACTATACAAATTTGTCGTAGAATCTTCTCTCAATTCGGGTTACCTAAAGTTCTAGTTAGCGACAGTGGAAGACAGTTCACGGCTCATGAATTTAGGAATTTTATGAAGGAAAATGGTATTTTTCACAAATTTAGTCCATCATACCATCCGGCTACAAATGGTATGGCAGAGCGATACGTACGGACAGTAAAACAAAGTTTAAGAGCATTGCACTGGCAAGGAACTAATGAAGAGAAAGATATAATGTTGTGTAAATTCCTCCTACAATACAGAATTACACCACACAGCGTAACCAACAAACCCCCAGCAACACTTTTTCTCAATCGGAATAACTTACGTACACGTTTAGATCTTTTGAAACCAGCCATCGAGCATGTAAAGCAAGAAGCGATGAGCGAACAAGGGATTAGAAACTTCGCGGAGGGGGAAAGAGTGGCGGTTAGAGACTATATTCACGAGGATAAGTGGAAATTTGGTAGAGTTGTACAAAAGTTAGGAAAACTTATATATACGATACGGTTGGATGACGGTAAAATCAGGAGAAAACATATTGATCAGATACGAAAGATAGGAGAGAACATAGCAAGCGATCAGTTACTACAGCCAGAGCCTCTCACCCAACGGAGTCAGAAATGCGAATGCGATATACCAAGGTTGCTAGATCGAGATCAGGTTTCGGAAAGCGGAACAGAAAGCGTAGCCGACGAGCGTCCGACCGAACGGAATACGGAGGATAGGCCTAAGAATAGGGAGTTGGAAACTGTACCCCCTAATGTAATAACCGCACCCGAGATAGCTCTCGATAAAGACTTAGAAGCCAAAGCAGAAATACCTAAGACTGTAGAATTACGTAGGTCTAAGCGAACAAGGAAGGCTCCTGAGAAGCTTGACCTGTAAATAGTTTAGTTCAGGATGTTGCGTTATACTTATAACTTCTTAATGTAACTAGTTGTAAGTATTTCCTAAGAGAGGGAAGAAACTGTTATGTTCGTAAGTTGAATAAACCGCCCTGAGAGTGCAACCGCGAGAGGGCACGATAGCCATAAGAGTGCAACCGCAAGAGGGCACGATAATGAGTTTTCGGTCCCGCCAAAAAGAATGAGAGCCTTCGGGCAGACATATTGTAACAGCCGACTCGGTCGCATGACCGCTGCCTCGCACGCAATAAAGACGACTTATTGTATACTTTGTGTGACTTACTACCTGCTCACGTACATAATACTCCTATAAAAAATTATATTTTTGAATTCTATAAAAGAAAATAGCTTAGTTTTGTCCGAAACATTTCTTTATCAGATGTTTTTATTTAAAAAATATGATACATGAAGCATTTACGAAATCAAAATTACAACACTCCTTTCTGATTTATTCAATTTATTAAATGTTTAAATTGTCCATCATGGACTTGCAAACATTTATTTAGCCGAATTAAAAATTTATTCCTTACATTTGATAACATTTCGGGAGTCACTGAAATGCAAACGTGGGGTGAGAAGAAGCACAAGGATACGCTACGCTTGCGCTTCAATGATTCACGAATGTTATCAAATTTTAGGAATAATTTGTTAATTCGGCTAAATAAATGTCCATGGTGGACAATTTAAACATTTAATAAATTGAATAAATCGAAAGGGAGTGTTGTAATTTTGATTTTGCAAATGCTAAAGTCTCTTTAATCAGAGTCTGGCCAACTTGCAGTTCTGGGAAAATTCTGCGAGAGAGAAAGAAATATACACCTCTGTAAAATTGGCCGGACAACTTCACAGAGGTCTATACTTATTTCTTTCTCTCTCGCAAGTTGGTTAGACTTTGATTAGGGGGACTCTAATAAATGCTTCATGTAACTATAAATTTTTTTAAAAAAGGTAAAAAAAAGGCGCCAAGTACTCGCGTAGTTGTTACCTCGAAAAAACTAAGTAGTAGTATCATTAATTTTGAATTAAAAAATAAATAAAATCTATTCTAACTTAGGTGGTAGTAGCTTTAATTCTTTTTAACAAAATTATTATATTATAAAATTGTTACTTTATTCAATCCAAGTGATATCTACTTAAAAAAGACTTAAATAACAAGTGGTATCTATTTAAAAAATATGTGAAATCTTTTAATACTGCGCCAATTACAAAGAGAGAATATATATAGGTATACGGCTCAACTTCCGAATAGCCCCTACCTCCGAATTTGATGAAACTTGCAGGAGTTGTTGATTATTAGAGGACATGTTCATACCATAAAGGATTTTGTACGGAAACAAATAGGAACGGAGAAATTGGCGTCAAAAATTCAAAATTTGGTAAATGTCTACAATTAGGTCTCCAACGAAAAATCAATTGAAAAGAGAAATTCTATGTATTTTTGCTCCTCAAATCCAAAACTGTTGATAAAATTTGGGGGTTGCTTGTATTTTTTAAGATATCTTTAAGAAAATGAAAAAAAAAACACTACATAGGTTAGATGACGCGCTTTAAAAGTATTTAACTTAACTGTTTAAAGCGCGTCACTAATCTACATAGGTTAGATGACGCGCTTTAAAAGTATTTAACTGTTTAAAATTTTTTTGGGCACGCATAGGGGGTGTAGGAGGGCGAAGCCCCCCCGCTTATGTTTAAAGCAAAATACATTTTCTACCCGGGCACGCCGAAGGTGTGTCCATGGGAGGAGTGCGAAACCCCACCCCCCCGCTCCATCCCATCAACCCAACCCACACCGCCAGGTGCACGGGCGGATGCAGGGCGGGCGGAGCCCCCCCTGCCCACACTCATAGGTTTACTCACACAATGGGGGGGTGCAGGAGGGCGAAGCCCCCCCCGTCCATACATGTACTTTGATATATTTCACGGTTCTCATTTTCTTAACGATATCTTAACAAATACAAGCGACCCCCAAATTTTATCAACAGTTTTGGATTCAAGGAGCAAAATACATACAATTTACCTCTTTTCAATTGATCTCTCGTTGGGGCCTTAATTCTAAACATTTACCAAATTTTGAATTTTTGACGCCAATTTCTCCGTTCCTATTTGTTTCCGTACAAAATCCTTTATAGTATGAACGTGTCCTCTAATAGTCAACAACTCCTGCAAGTTTTATCAAATTCGGAGGTAGGGGCTATTCGGAAGTCTTATCATGTATACATATATACCTTAACAAAATTATTATTATATCACAAAATTGCGTTACCAAACTCAATCCAAGTAATACGTACCAACCTAAGTGGTACTAGCCTTATTTTTCCTTAACAAAATTATATCACAAAATTGCGTTACCTAACTCAACCTAAGTGATATGTTATTTCAAAAAAATATATGAAATCTTTAAATTAGGCCAACTACAAAGAGAATATATATATTGCTTTGAAAAATAATTGTAGTGCAACTACTCTTAAAAAATAAAACAAAATTGTTTTATCTAACTTAACCCAAGTGGTATGTATCTTTGTATTCCTAAGGGTCTTTCTATCAACCCAAGTGGTAGTAGTTTTAATTTTCCTTGATAAAATTATAATATTACAAAGAATCATTTTAATCACAAAAAATTAAAGAAGTAACATTATAAAATAAAAATATTTAATTAAAATAAAATAAATAAATTTTTCTTGTAAAAAACTTGGCGCTGCTTTTTTAAGGTGTATCCAGACAAACTTGCATAAGTGCATAAGCATATGCATAAAGAGATCATGGATTAAAATAAAATAGATAGATTTTAATAAAAGCATCTGACAAAAGGAATGTTTTGGACAAAACTAAGCTGTTTCTTTCCATAGAATTCAAAAATATAATTTGTTCCGAACTAGTAGTTCGTACGTTTGTATGTCGCGGTCGCCTGTGGATAACTGTGATTGCGAAACATTAGTTTATGCGATCTCAATAGATGGCGTTTTTAAGTTTTGTAGCGTGGACTCTATCGACCCGCGCATTATCGACCTCAGATTCAGCTCAGCTCTCGCGTGTGTCACTTCCGCTCGTGCACATTATAATAAAGGGTGTTCCTTGTTTAAAAGCGTTGTCATTTACAACCGCATCATATATCGTCAAGAGGTAATACCGATCTCCAGGCAATCCAGATCACAAACAAATTACATAATTTTTGACGTAGAATTACGTCTTTGTCGACAGTAAGTAGGTGGTAAATCCAGGAGCACAGACGCAACGAAAACATGTCACACTTTGAACGTTTATATCTTTGAAACTAATAATCATAGAGTAGGTGGAAGAAGAAAGGCGTGAAGGAAGCCGAAAGAAGGTGGAGTAAGTGGAGGCGAGGTCGAAAGTAAAGCGGGACGACAGAAATCTGTTGGAGATTAGGAGGGCTGAGAGAAAGGTTATGTTGACGGTGGACTTTGGAGAGAAGATGCAGAGAGAGGAGCAAGGTTCAGGACGGGAGAGGACGGAGGTGAAAGGAAAGGAGAAGAACGCGGGGATGCACATGCAGCAGGTGTGGTAATGTGGTGGAACGGTACGGCAGAAGATGTGATCGAGTGTGACGGGGAGAGAGAGGAGGCGGAGAGGCCGGCTGCTGGTAGATAAGGAGCAAGGGAGAGGCGGAAAAGGTGGAAGATGACCGGGAGAAAAGGGAGAGGGGAAGAAGGCGAAGCTGCTTACTCCTGGCGGGAGTGTCGGCGTGGAGGCGCCGGGGCGGCCGTAAGGGTGAGCGGACTCGAAGGGCCAGGAGGAAGCAAGAGCAAGGGGCCCGGCGACACGGATGAGTTGGTAAAGTGGAGAGGCGAGATACCGACAAAGAGGTATCGACCATGGATAACGCGGAGAAAACTTAGCGAGTCGATAAGAAGGGAAATCCGAGGCGGATCGATAGGAGAATCGATGGTGATGGCGATCGAGGCAGGACACATGCCATTAGAGTGCGTAAGCATGAGGTATAGGTACGTATTAGCTGGAGAGATTAAGAACGCGGAACGAGAATAGAGAAGTGGAGGATAGTACGAATGTAAGTAGAAGAGAGAAAGGAGAAGGAAGAATGGGGCGGGCAAGGCCGAAATGAAAGGGGCGAGAGAGGAAGGTAGAGCAAGTGAAATAAAGTAAATTCAACTTTCTTGTTACAGATAACCTAAAGGGAGAAAGAGGGGAAAACGGTGGAAAGAAGGATGGAGTGCAGAGGAAAGATTATAATAGAAAAAAAGCGATAGAAAAGATAGTAGAAGAGAAAGTATGGGAGATGATAAAGGAGTTTAAAAAGGACAGTAAAAGAAAAGATGAAGAGATAAAAAAATTGAAGGAAAAAGTAAAGAGATTAAAAAGGAAGGTGTATAGGATAGAGCAGAGCGCGGGCAAAAGGAAGAGAGATGACAGTGAAGAGAGTAAGTGTAAGTTTGGTAAGAGGAAATGGTAGGCAGAAGAGTATGAAAGGAACGACGACGAGAAAAGAAAGAAGATGATAATAAGACGTAATAATACGGATCGAGAAAGAGAGATGGATGGGGAAGAATCAAATTGGAAGAAGGTGAAGGAATTGTTTTCGGAAGGATTAAAAGTGAAGGTGGAGGTGAAAGAAATAAGCGTGATAGGGTCAGAAAAGAGACTGGGTGACGATAATAGTAAAGATGGAGAATAAAGAGGATAAGTGGAAGGTACTAGATGCAAGAAAAAAAGAAGGGAGCAGATTAAGGGTAAAAATAGATGAGAACAAATCGATGGAGATGAGGGACCCCGGAGGATGAGATTGCGAAAAGGATGGAGGAGAATCTGTAATGAATTCGGACGAGAAAGAAGACGATAGGAAGAAAAGAGAGTAAGAAGAATGTAAGATAGAAAGGAGAGAGGAAGGGAGATAGAGAGGGAAGCGTTAAGAGAGAAGAAGAGGAGGAGGAAAAGGAAATAAGATGTAGGATTAATACCTTTATTTTCAGAGTAAAGGTAAAGTAAAAAAGAAGGAAGGCGTCG